GTGTGACATACAAAGTAGCTTACTCTCTTGGTAGTAGGTTGAAAGTAAAGTGTGTGGGAATGAACTGTTTCATTGATTTTACAGTTTATTAACAAGTAAATTTTAAAGAACAAGCTCCAAACAAGGTCGATTTTTACAATCTATATGCACAAGGCCACATAAAGAATTGATTTTCACTCTTCTCCCATAGGGTTAACTACCCCATTTTCGGCCTATTAAGCACAACCTGAACTTAGTCTTTCTTAATCTACAGTGCAGCTTAGCACCAAGCGGAATGTTATTAATACTGATAGCTTCCAAATTTATTTACCTTTCCGTATGTACCATAAGATTTGATAAAGAGAAACCAATCTTTGAGATATTGTCAAAAGTCTAACACTGCTTCTTGTCGCCAAACTCGGCCTACGGATTCTAAACTCGGCCTAACGCATTGAAACGCCATTTAAACGGCAATAAATTCAATCCGGCCTATCGGATGAAGATAAAAAATTGATTCGCTCGGAGCGCTTCTTTTGTTTTTGTGAATAATAGGTGCAAACCTTCATATCACGCGTTCTCATTGACTTTGTTCCGTAGCTTATTAACTAAAGCATCGTACCAAACGCATAATTGACTTGTTAACTCTGAAATCATGGATTTATTTGATGTTTTCTGCTCGATAGGCCCAAAATGGGCGATTAGGCCGAAGTAGTTCTCTACCCTACTGAATTTTAACGATGCCTTCGAAGGAAACAGCGCCAGTTATGGGAATATTTGTTTTGGGCTTGTTGAAAAATAGTTTCCCGTAAAAAGCTAAACTACAAAGTCCATATGAATGATTTCTTTCGATTGTCGTCAATTTTTTTTTAATTACTGTAAAAAAAATTGAATCAGTATTTTGCTTAACGCCGTGCTTAGAGTATCATCCAAACCTTCTGTGGAATAGTTCTATCATTTGGTTTTTGAGTGTGGTTACGTTTTTTTGTTTTTATTATGGTATCCATCATAAATGTATTATTTCAACTTTTCGAAATTTCTACATGGGGATTTTAGATACTTGTTATAAATGGTTCAGTGTCTGGAACGTTTGAAGTCTTCGTTGTATCAGCGGGATCTTTTGCCGTTTTTGTTCGTATCAAAATAAACAATTAAGTAAAAAGTCGCTCATCGTGCTTTCTGATAGATTTTTTTTAAGTGACTATATAGTTCTTGTAGTTTTATAAGAGTGTTGAACTTGGGTCATTCGTGACTTGTCCGGGTGAGATTTGAACTCGTGACTTTGGCGTGAGAGGTATGGATGTTAACCACTACGCCGGTGACGCCCCCCTTTCTGATAGATGACATAATTAAAATCGCTAATCTTTTAAATCGCGGCAAACATTTCCAAATCTTTTCTTATCTCTTGAATATATCTTGTACAGATTACAATACCTTCTCCCTTGGTTATTAATAAAAAATCCTGTTTTATTAATAGTTATGCATAAAACACGCATAGTCCGTTAACCGTTACGGATCCATCCTCTTCTTTTGTCTTCCATATAATTTTAAATTACTCAACCGATTTCGATGAAACCGGTTCCAATCGATTATTCTAGGTTGCATTTTGGAACGTGTGAATAAATTCCATAGTGCCAGTATGCGGTGGAACAGCGTAGAATTCTGACCATAACGGTTGATCTCTAAGCAGTGCGTTGCGATTTGGCCCGAAGCACTTTTCTTGTTGACGGTTTTGAAACTTGTTTTTGATCAGAAACAAGAAATCGCTTTTTGTTGATAGACATGAGACTCGTTTTTGATTTTTGTTCCGGAGAACCGAGGATGGAAACAAGTGAATATTAGGACCATGGTTCATATGCATTGTCCCCGAAGAGGTCAATTTTAATTGGTGAAAGGAACAGTTCTCACCAGTAAGGTATAAATAGCAGATCATTACAATGGATCATTTTAGACGGCTGGTTTTGAGCCCTCTCCACAGCATGCTTTAAGTGCTAATAGTTTCATGATCAATGAATCTTCGTTATTTCAATTCTAAAATCTTGTGAATGGATGGTAATAGCATAGAGGTAACTCTAAGACCAGAAGGTCCCGAAGAAACTAACTCAACTTTTTGGCTCAGCTCTGGTACTATCTACGGTCCCAAGCTAAACGATGCACCCCTCGAAACATAGGAAAATCCATGAACCCCTCATTTTATCTGTCAAACTTTCATAGCGAATCAAAACAATCATAGTGTAGTACTGGAATTTATACGAGAATAAGGTACGTTAATCGATTTGCTTGGGACCAATAGGCTAGTCAAGTGTGAGCCAATTTAAAATCGTAAGTTTCGTATTGATTGTTGGTAATAGTAATGTTTGGTTGGCAATACATCATAATTATTTGTTTTTTTTTTTTTTTTTCGTTTTCCATTGTAACAAAAACGGGATGGTGAATTTTATACTGGTCATGCTGCCGCCCAGACTGATAGAGGACGTTTATATATTTACGTATGTGTTGACGATGAGGTGCGCTGAGTGTAACTTCTTCCAGCAGGTCTGGACAGTCAATGTTGTTCATCAAGATGTCGATTATAACCATCTGTTGCAATGTCAGCCATCTTGTCGAGAGTAGATCAAAATTGATCAGATGGCATCGTGGTTGGTAGTCTGGAAGATGCAAGGGATCGTTCCATGGGAGATTACGAAGTGCGAAGCGCATGAATAATTTTTGAAATCGCTCGATGCGGATGACCTGACACGTGATAAGGTGCCCAAACCGGAACAGCATGTTCCAGAAAACTTCAAAAATTCATGTCAATTTCGGTTTCCTGAGACCGACACATGTAAGCGGCTCTTTTGACATAAGAATCAGTAGAAAGAAACGAGAAAATCAATTCAATCAAACGTTCTCTTCGTCGAGTTGCTTATGCTTAGAACTAAAAGCTCTAAGGCAGGAACTTAACGGACTATTGAACCCATAACTTGTTCTGTGTCCGGGTATGACGATGAGGGTGGGATATCGTTGCACACTTAGAAATAACTACTTTTACGCGAGACGTAATCCATATTGGACGTAAATCATGGAACGTATACAAATATTTCAAGTAAAATTAAGTGTTCTCAAACCGAAACATAAGCAACTCGACGAAGAGAACGTTTGATTGAATTGATTTTCTCGTCTATGTCTCTGTCTATGAACAATTTGATTTTAATATCACTAAAGGCTGTTTCAAAACTAGGATAAGATTACAAAGGACAAGCTACGTGCCAGCGAAGACAGTAAACAACAAATAAATGAGTGCAAATTTTGGGTGAATGATCAAGACCTGTTTTGTAGGGTGGAGCAAAATCGATATTTTGAACCACCCTAATAGTCATCGTCCGTCACCGTTGAATCAGCACCCGCTGCAAAACGATCCAAGTGGGCTGGCTGACTGTACCGCTGACCACGTGACGTCAATACAATGACGTATTTGCCTAATCTACCGTGACAACTCGATCTTCAATGACTGCCACGCTTCAAGTAGCACCACACTTGCATTTCACCACGACACCGTAGTGCACAACTCGCTTGCTCGACGAAAAGATAACAGCTGAGTTGAACTGTATACGAGAGACAAACACTTTCGCTCTATTTTGAGCCCAACCAGCTGGCACGGCCCATTCAGTGTGCTTTAGTCGTTCAACGGAATCGGATCTCCTCGCGTCGAGTGTTTGTGTATCGTTCGTTCGTTCGTCGCGATCATCGCATTGAAGTTTCTATCGCCTTGTCCGCGCTGGTCGAACATTTGTAACTGCGGAGAAATTTGGCATATTGATCTGCGAATTTAGCTGTTTCCATACCACCAACCTACCGACAAACATACAGTGAAAGTAAAAGTGAGTATAAAATGTCATGTTTTCGACCATGTCTGGGTTTGTGGATTACTTGGATGTGGTTGGATCCAGTGCCTATAGCATGCATGGGCGGCGGTGTTTGGTCCAAAGCTCGTTCGAAGACCGGTTTATATTTGTTTGGAGTGAATTAAGGAGATATTTCGTAACAATTGCACTACGGGATTATGAAATGGAGGGAGACGCATTATGAAATTGATGCATGTGCTGGGTGGTGTTGTGCGAGTTATGAACGATTTTGCTGCGGGATCGTATAATGAACAACAAAATAAATGTGTGCACAAGTTAGATCGTACTATATCTACTTGAATGGGGGCCATGTTGACTATACATAATTTTCGGTTGTATCGTTGAATTGTTGATTTATAATAACTTTATCATGCTATTCATGCAACAGACAAGGACATCACCATTAATAAAAAAAAAACTATTTCAAACTAATTTTCAAATTGCTAGATACCGTAAAAACCCTTCGATTGTTCTAAAATCTAATTCATCGTTCTTCCTGGCCCAAGGTCAAGCAGGACAAATGTACCATCATCCGCTGGGCAGCTATCGGATTCTTATTTGCGAAACGGTAATTATCAATCACAATACCTCGCACTGCAAATCATGCCTGGAAGGTTCGATTTTTTGTTTACCTCCTAAATCTGCGCTTTCATCCGCGATGAATCCTCGCCTCATCGTCATAAATGAATTATAATATGAACACCAACGTGACTTCACTGAACCCTCTTATCGCGGAATGAAGAAAAAGAACTCGAAAATAGTAAACAAATCGCGGGAAAATATTTACTCCCGGTCTATCCCTTGTTTCAAATACCGATTCCAGCTCACGCGGCCTGTGCACAATCAAAATGGTCCATACCCACCACTTGAATTCTGTTGACTTGTACCGGCCCATCTCCGGAGTAAATAGTTTATACACTGATAATGGTGATAGTGATGATGCGGTTAGCACCGCATATGTAACCAAACCAGTTCAAATCTTTTTCCATTTACACTGAACTGTACCTCTTTTGAAAAGTTACAATGTGGCTTATATGGATGGGTGATTGCCTATGGAGCTGTCATGTTTTACTGTGATCGGATGATTTCTATACTTGACTTTAATGTTCAGCATAGCCTTCGAAGACTATGCTGAAAGTCAGTCGTAAAAGCTATCTTACTATCATCTAGACATTTCAAAAGCACTAATATCAGGACCCACAAAACATAAAACAATGCAACAAACAGGGAGTTCCAATTTCATGAGCGATTTCGCAACAGTTTTCGAGATTTGTGGGCTAGATGACGGTTATTTAAAGACTCTTCACGAAATCATCAATACAGAATTTGTTTTTGTTTCAGTTGCAACCTGAATCGGGAATCAGCATACGATTTATTTATATTCTTGCTAACGTCAGCTTGATCGTTTATATTAGTAGCAAGGCACGGGTCAAGGATCGCCCTGATGATTAGCTCGGGTTCGCACGGGATGGAACTGGCGATCATTTTAATCGATCGCAAATTCGCTATAACTTACTCATGATGATATTGATTTCATTGTATGCAGTTGATGAACCACCTGTTTTTTTTTCTGGTTTCGTTGATTCGTCATACACAAGCTTTACGTGCTTTTATATGCTGGTATGTTCTACCACTAAGTGGTTCAGTTCAGAACAAAATTAGCCAAAGCCTTAAAAGTGATTCATGTTTAAAGAATACAAATGGAGCAGCTATTTTTAGGGCCACGGAAAAAGCTAGAAATGAAACAGGTTTTGTTAAAATTTCAGAATATGTATTCGCGGTGGCTGAGGGATTTTCGGATGCTATTGCGTACCCTACTTTCAGTTGTGGTAGAAAATGTTTAAAGCAGATAGAGTCAATTAAACCGAATCAATCTCACAGGATCATTTGAGTTCACTCACTCGAGAAAAAGTGACACAAGCTGCGGACAATGTTTACTTATCATGAACACCAAATGTTCATGAATAATGAATAATGAACATTTAATGTTCATGATTAGTAAACATTGCCCGCAGCTTGGGTCACTTTTTCTCGAGTTTCGTCTCGAGATTCATCGGTGCACTCAAATTCATCGGTGCACTCGTCCATGACCCCAAATATGAAATTTATCAATATCTCTGAGTAAAAGTGACTCTCTCTCTCTCTCTTTCTCTCTCTCTGAGTTGTTCTCAGTGGCCACGTTGTTCTGCGCTACCCGATTGAAAGCATACAAACCGAATGGTAATGATTGAGTACCGACAAGTTAGACGGATTTCGCTCATTGATTATTATCGGATCTATAGATTCCAGCCGTTTAATAAAGTTCTGTGGCTGTTTCAAGATTGCATGCTACAAAATAATAAGTTTCTACATATCAATGCCCATTTTACTGCGTAATGTTCATATGAAGCTGGAAAGCGAAATAATGATGTTCCTTCAAAATTCTCACTCAGTTGTTTCAACCGAATGCACTCAGAAACAAACCAGGATGGAAAAGGAATCACTTTCACACCACTTACAGAATCCTTCACGATACAGTCTGCTGTCAGCTCAGCTCGTTTATCATGTGAGATATATAGTTGTTATGGCAAAGTTTTTTTTTTCGGCATTCCAGGCATTGATTATGATTGAACAATTCAATTGATTAATTTGCCTATCTCACTCTTTATCGTTGTTTAATTATTTTATTCTAATTTAATATTTGCGTTTTTCCACAAGTTTACATTATTCCCCTTTGGAGGCATATTTAGATTGCTTTGAAAAATACAATTTGATAACCCACCTACACGCAAAAATCTATTACAATGAATGTTAGTTCCGTTTCCTATCATCATCTGTTTATGAACATCGTAACGAATGTTAGAAATTGACCATGCAGGCAATGTAATGGTTTTTTGCCCTTTTTTATTTCGTGTTCTATCTACGCTTTCGACTATACCAATAAGCTTGTAGAACGACACACATTGTAGAACATTTTAGAACGACGCACACACTTGCCTCGAATCTCTCCAGCAGAAAAAGCATACGAAGTCGAGTATGCGAGAAAATGAGCGCTACATGTTTGCTTTTAGCGAAGACAACAAATCAAGAAGACTGGCAACTTTGCCAGAATCCCAGCGACAGATACAGTAGCGCTGCGTTTGAGTGAAGGTGGAAGCAACGCATAGAAAAATGAACAAATACACAAACCCTTCGTCTGAGGATGTAATCTTTGCTATCAAATTCGTTCGAAGCATTTACCTTTGAGCGGCAGATGACGCGATTGTACCTGTCTCATAGCGTTCGTATGAGAAAATGGAAGAGTTGCCAGTCTTCTTGATTTGTTGTCTTCGCTTTTAGGCTACCCATATTCATAAGCATGGATAGATCAGTACAGCGCGAATGAGAACGACCCAAATTTGAGTTTAGTTCACTCATAATCGCCAAAAGTGCAGGAACGCAGCGAAGAGATAAATTTGTCTCATGGTTTCCTGTGGAAAACCTAAAAAATCTGCCGGAAAATTAGGAAATTGACGAAAATTTTATTCAGTCTCGGAGTAGTTCCAATAGACTGAGTGAATCCAATCTTTACTTTTCTCAAATACGGGAATTTTTCCCTGGAAAAACCTGGGAAACATGAGGTAAATTTACTCATCGCTGAGTTCCTGCACTTTTGGCGATTATGAGTGAACTAAACTCAAACTTGGGTTGTTCTCATTTGCCGTGTAGAGAAAGCATAGGTCTGATAATCGCAACGGTCGTGGTTCGAGTCCAGTCGGCAGTCTGTTTTCAATTTTTTTCAACATAACTAACTTACCTCACTAATACTCTCAACATTTTTCGGTCTCCAATTTTCTTGCATTGGACCGCAGCTAGCTATTTCGCATCCTCGGTTCATGCAGTCTCCACTAACATCCTCTGATGATGAATCCCACATAATTGTAAGCGAATCTTACATCCCCCGGTTGGGTGTAACTACGAATATAACTTAACCTAACGTGTTAGATCCCGTATGATCTGTTGATTTGATCTCAGACAGGGGCTCTGAACCTTTCCTCTTCGTTCTGTGAAAGTCTGAATTCCATCTAGGTGGTGGATATCAGAATTTCAAGTCCACGGGGGATTGTTTAGGATCATCCTAAGGATCTTGTTCTGGATCCTTTGCAGTTTTAGGTGATGGCATTTGGAACAACTCTCCCGAATTGGCACACCATATTTGATAACAGGTAGGATTAGTTCAAAGTGTTTTTATGTTACTTCATACGTAAAGTTTACGATTTTCAGAGTTGGTTGGAAATGCTATCTAACATGAAGCTTAAGTGTGATAATTTAGCAGCTAGAGAATAGTTTGAAGAGGGTAGGTGGATAATTCCGCAGTATGAAAATTGAATAGAAGTTGAAAATGAGAGAAGGGCCATTAATGCGGCAGGATTACTTGTTTATAGACAGAAAGCTTATTTTTCAGTGACAAGGAGGATATCCTGTTGATGGATGTATACAGTGATCTCATCAGGATGTTGCACTAAGTGTTGGTTTTATCGATGTGCTCGCTAAAAAGAAGCTTGCTGTCAGGGTGAGGGGGGCGACTCTATCTACGATGCAGGAAAGATTGTCGCACGCTGAGTAGATAGAAAGAAGATTGATGACGATTCTGATGATTTCCTGTAAAAATATGATGCAAGTAGATGCGTGAAATAAAATAAAATTTTTCGAAGATTGATTCGCTAGTGGGATATTTGTTGAGCTCCGACGCAAAGAGCGCCACTCAGTGTAGAGTTGTAAAGGGAAACCCAGCACAAAGACAAAATTCTTCTTCGTTATGCAATTCACCATCTCCTATGCATGCAGTCGTGGTAAGCAAAGGCTACAACAAACTCAAAGAAAACATTAAAGCTTGTTATACTTATTATATTCGCGCCCTACGCAGCACGGAGTGTACCGCTCATTGTGTGAATCGCTTTCTCAAAGATTAGTTGGAAAAGAGTGTGCGAAGCAAATGGGAGAACACACACTCGTTG